GATGATGCCTTCAGACGCAGACGGCGTCGAACAGATGCTCACTGGTGAAAACATCCTATGGTTACCAACTTGGACAGCCTGAATGCTTCAGCAAGATCAAGCCCATCACCATTGACCCAAAGCGTCGTGGCATTGCGATGGCTTCCCAGAACGAGATCAGCGCCTTGCCTGCAATGGCCAAGTACACAGACGTCACCGCAACTTAGTGCCACAGTGACTCTCCTTAGTGGTCAAATCACAGCTGGAGCAACAGAAGACTTGCGTGATGCAAACAAAGCCTTGAAGTTTGCCAAGATGAACAATGATGTTGGATTCCACTTTCGTCCGCTGGGTCAAATTTCAGATATGGTTTTGGTTGCAATGACCGACGCCTCATGGGGAATCCTGGATACCTTAAGAGATTTTAGATGGTCAAGCTACCAACTACATCATTTTGGATCGGTGAAGTTTTCGTTTGCCCCGCATCTCCAGAAGCTCATTGAATGCAGAGTGCGATGGACAGTTTGGAATACACCCGTACGTTAATTCAAGGTTGCCTGAATGCTGACTATACTTTGCAATCCCCAGGCGAGTGGGTGATCAACAAAACTGCTCTTTTTGTGAATGCCAAAGCCTTGTACGATTCAATTCGTGCTGAAGCTCCCCAACTCTCTGGTGACAAAAGAAACAAAATTGAAGTGATGATTGTGAAGGAAAAGATGCAAGTGTGCCAAACCTTGCTGCGATGGGTTTTAAGTGAGGCACAATATGCTGATGGAATGACAAAACCATCCGCAAGACAGTTGCTCACAGACCGCCTTCGAACACACATGTTCAAACTGCAAGCAGGTGAAAGTTTCATAGCTGCCAAGAAGAAGACGCAGCAACAACATGAAGCCAATGCCGCTAGCTTGCCCGCGAGCAACGTATATAGGTGGTTTAGCCCATTTTGTTTTCATTTCACAGATCATGCCTGTCACCGCGACCTCCATGGATGATGCTTCGGAAGTTTTCGAGATGCTGCGATTTTTGGTGACTATGTTGGTTTCCTTTTTCACTGGATGTTTTTGCATGTGGATGTTCATGGACTACCCCAACATCCTCAACCGTGCTGAGCCGAAGCGTCGAACGACGCGGCCAAGAAGCTCAATGTGAAATCACCTATGAGGAGATGAGTCACATGCAACATGCCCTTCACTGCGAGAAGGAAGACATGCAAAGAGCCATCGAAAGCTATAAGCGTGAACTGGAAACTCTGAAGAGCTATGCCCAAGTGATGAAGGATGCAAGCGAGACTGACAAGCAAGATGCAGAAAGGTTTCATGCAGATCTCAAGAAGGCCACACTGGAGTTGGAAGAGAACGAGCTCCCCCTTATCGAAAGCAAAGAACGATGTGATGAACTGGAACGAAAACTATGAGCTGCAGGATTCTCTGGATCGGGCCAATGCGGCCAACAACAACATGAATGAGTGGTACCACCACGACCTGGAGTTCGACTCCGAGGTCTACGCTATTCGTCAAGCCACCAAGTTCTACCTGTTCAACGACTGTGAGACTGTGAGTTGTTGATGCGTGCAAGACTCATTGTCATGCACAGGTGCTCAACTTGCGTGGATCGCAGACTCCGTGAAAACTCTGAGCTGGATCATTTCCAACAAGGATGCAAGTGATGGCCGACAGGTTCTTAAGTGAACCGCCTCTGGTTTTCAATGTCTACGTTTGCGAAATACAGTTTTGTCATACATATGCTGGGCGGACTGGAATTTTCCCGCTATACAATACAATGCAATGCAATGTGTGCCAGGTGGACTGGAGTTTTCCCACCTGACGAATTTAATTTTTCATACAACAGGTAGACTGGAATTTTCCTACCTGACGGATGCAATGTGCTGAAGGCAGACTGAAATCTCCTGCCAAATGAAGTAATGGCTGCCGGTGAAACAATGGCCAGTTTTCGGCCAAAACAACTTTCCCCGATGTGAATTTGACGCCGTCAACTTAGGTGTTGATACTACATGCTGGGATGACACACACAAATCGAGAAGCCACTGCCCAGGTCAGTTCACTACATGCTTCAAGCGCCGACGCTGCTTGGATCATATCGCCCTAAAAGGGCCCTTGAGCCTCGCCCGTGCGAAAACAGATGCCTAGACTTAGCGTGCTGGATTGTAGAAACCCCAAGGGATCATTTGACTTAGTGTGCAACTGATCAGAACTCTTAAGTGAGTTCTTCAGAGTTACAGTAGTTTGAACGCTGTGGCGTCCGCAAAGCATCCTCTGAACGGTTGATTCACATGTTCTCAATGCCTTCGCGGGCACAATGGTCAAATGTCCCACCAGCTAGAGAGTAGTCGATGGGGGTTGGAGGAGGATGTGCTGAAGCCACCGAAAAAGACAAGCTGCATCACCAAGCTTGGCCACATCAGGATCCTCAGCTTTGCTCCAACACTTTCACCGGGTGCTACCAGATTTTGTCAAAAAAAGAGTAATTTTGCATGCGCAATGCGACATCAAGAACTCGTCCACTTCACTGCATCAGTCTGTGCGTACTTATGCGGCCCAGGCTCCAGTCCTTGACGTTCTGGCAGAAGGTGGTGTCCTGCATGGTTTTCTGCCATGTGGTGGTGTAAAGGTGGGATGATGCGAGAGACCGGGACACCCTTTTTCTGCACAAACTGAAGCTCCACTGGTTACATTCAAAACGTGCAGTACAACAATGCATTATATATAAATACTATATCAAATCTACTGTATATATAATATTATATATACAGATGTGAAATTGTGAAAGCACAGATTCAATCGGATCTGTTCCAACGTTTCAAGTATGCTTTCTGCTTTCCGCCTCAGAGCCCTGGGGCTTCATCTTCAAATGGTAGATCAGCTTGCAGCCTCACAACTGAAAGTGACCTATGCGCAGAAAAATATAGAAAAATGATGTAGTTGCTTGGGTATGCTTGAAGGGCAGATTAGTTGGCATCAAACTTTCACTACAGGACAGGCACATAGGTTTATAAGATCCGAAGTCTCTAGGATGAAGGTTTTTCAAAATAATTATTTTTATGATTTTGATACGTTTCAGATATGATTTGTTGTTATGATTTGTTTATGGCTTGGTTTTGCTGTTATGATTTTGATATGGTTTCAGTTATGATTTTGATATGGTTTCAGTTATGTTTTTTGTTGTGGGTCAAACTTGTGATTTGAAGCCAACCCATCGGAACCATATCCAAAAAAATATTCAAAAATCGTATCAAAACCATATCAATATCGTATCAAAATCAAATCAAAACCACGAAAACCTGCGAAAAATCGACCAAAAACCTGTCCCTGGGCTGTGTCTGTTTCTTTTTTTGAAGCCAACTCACTGGAACCACATCAAAACCGTATCAAAATCAAATATCAGAAACGACCAAAAACGTATCAAAACCATATCAAAATCATACGGACACCATAAAAACACTTGAAAACTCGACCAAAAACCTGTCCCTGGGCTGTTTCTGTTTCTTTGTTTGAAGCCAACTCACTGGAACCATATCAAAACCGTATCAAAATCATATCAAAATCGTAACAAAACCCATATCGAAATAACCCCAAATTCAAAGCATATCAAATTCATATCGTCAAATCGTATCCAAAACCATATTAAAATCGTAAAAAAATATTTCCTGAATTCAGCATCCTAGAGGGATTCCGGGCTTATAAACATAGGTCATATCCTTGCTGCGTTGTGTTGCTTTGATACTTGCTCAATCTTGCTCATGTATTTGCACTTAAATGACTTTGATTCTTTGATGTACATTTCAAATGTAGATCAGGTGGATATCTACATTGATGCAACGTCTACATTCTACATGACTTTGCATACAGCACATTACCTTTCACTACAGTACGCGACTGGAAGAGCATCCTTCTGGATCCCGCCTTTTCGGTCAAGGTAGAAGAAGACCAGGAAAACTAAGTAGGTCCAGCCCTCACCGCATGCTACAAAGAACATCAAAGATCTCCGTATTGAATATATCCTCATGCCTGGCCAATAATACAGAACAAGCTTGCTTTTCCATCCCAAACCAGTTCACGGCGGCCAGGGCCTATGCATGATTGAAAAAATCAAGGCATGCAAGTCCACCAAAAAGCCACGGCATGCAGAACTTCTCAGGAATTGACGAGACTGGAGAAGCCCGCAATCATCACGCCCCTGTGAATGGGCAATGCTCAGCAACAACCACACAGAAGGGGGGAAGCATCTTTGAACAAAAATCGGCATTGCATGCAAGATTCGTATTGCCAGCATCGCTCAGAGTAAAGCCGGCGACTCTCTCGATCCTTGTGGGCGAAAACAGCGAAGTTTCTTCTTGCACTCATTCCATCCACAGTATCTGGTTTGCTTGGCAACCAGGTCACGGCAGGAAACTTTTAGCAGGTTTAAGCTGAAAATGTTCAAGTTTGTCTAGGGAAGCAAAGGCACGTGTATTGTTTGGCACCCACCAATGCGTAGTTGATGAAACCCGCAAGTCCTGACTCCAGTATGCGTTTCTCTCATGTTGGTTTCACGCTGGAATGCAAAAATGCGGAGCCTGTCAATGTGAGGGAGCACAAAATGAAGCCATAGTAGATCACAAACCAGGTGCCATAGGATAGTGCCGCAGACTGAGCACACAAAATCTGCAGGCGCTCACATGCTCTGAGGATCCCATCGAACAAATCCAAGGTAATTATACTTTGTAATCCAGACTTCACAAGTGAAAGTATGTATATGTCATATACAAAAGTGTTTGTTAGATTTGTTGGTGTTTGTTGCTGGAATTGTGAGTTGTACAGCTAAAAGCACCCTGATTAGGCAAATGAGGCGACTGTCGTCAAAACTCCTCCTCATTTAATTGGTATTTAATTGGTATTTAATTGGTATTAATTGGTTACATGAGAAGTGCCTTTGGAGTTGAGCTTCCGCAGCAAACAAGCAGCAAAATCACAATGATCAAAGATGGAGGGAAGCCATGGGAAGCCTAAAACTCCGTGTCAAAAACAGCAACCCTTTTTGACTCCAGACATTGAGGTCCCCACGCAGTTGTAGCGTCGACGTTTCACGATAAAGTAATGGAACACTTCGCAAGCTCCGATTGTCCAACGCTCGCTCTGTCGGAACCACTCTGCAAACTCCTCCCCTTGCCGTGCAAAGCTCTTGCAAACAGTTCACTGACATCACGGTATCCAGGACACAAGTCATTAAGTTATTAAGTGTCTTTACTTCTATCTTACTACTCCTGGAAGGTCTGTCAAGCTATGACGAATCTCGCACATCTTCAAGACCTATTTCGACATTTTTCAACGCTTCTAGATGTCATGTTTCTACCCCAAGGTTCTACTACGCTTTTGAATGCTTTTGATGGCGATGAAATCCTCCCTTTGGAAGGCTCAGCTGCTCGGCTGCTCGGCTGCTCGACTGCTCAGCTTCCTACACTGGGAAGTTCCAGATGTTGGTCCAGAGATCACAGGCATGGGAATCATCAAGATCTCAATGCGCTTCCTTGGGCCACAATGGGCAACAAAAGACACTTCAAAACACTTCAAGAGATGCAAACCAGCACACATTTCAGAGTGTTTTTGTGAATTTCATCGTTCCACTCCTGGAAAAATTGTTGGTGATGCCAAGTTTACCTTTTCAGAAACCAAACACACCAAGGAACTTAACAAATGTAGCTGGTTGACTTCGTGTGCAATTTCTTGTGAGAGACTTTGACTCCATTGGTCAGAGTCAATGGAATAGTCTTGTCAGCAGAGTCACAGGGATACAGGCTTGACAGGATACAATGCAAATAAATTGCAAGCTCAAAGTGCCTTATGCCGTCTGAATGCGAGACAAGAATCTGCAGAGCTTGCATGCAGGTCAAGGTGTAGATGATGTCATCCATTTGATAGTGAGCATGGAAGAACCTGATTCATTGCTGTTGACACAAGACCGACAGAACTACGGCAAGTGGCGTGTTCAGGAAACCCACTCGTTCTAAGCATCCAGATGACCAGATGCATGTTTAGGAAACCTAAGCATTCTCAGCATTTCAGGCATTTCGGGATCCTAGATGCAACAAGTTTGATTTGAACAGCTAATGTTTTTCTTCCCTACTGCACTAATCTTCCTGCTACACTGTAATTTTGATCAAGCAGTGCACAAAAGTGATGAAAACTGCGTCCTTCTTTGCAAACAAAGGATAGAAAATGATAGAAAGGGTAGACAAATATGCAAAAGCCACGTGTGCAGCTCTCGAAATCTCTCGAACCAGGTAGCTCGCCCTTGATGCAAAGATCCAATGAGAAGCTGAAAATCGACATGGTGTTGATGTTGAAAGGGATCAGAAAGCCCAGCATGTAGGCAGCACCTGAGGAATAATTCACCGCAGTGAGACTTGCTTTAAGTATCTTTAAGATTCTTTAAGATTCTTTATATAAGTATCTTTCACAATAAAACAGTGACAATCGATGGCGCTTGTGTTAAACAATGCTGTCATCGAACGACGATGTCTGTCTGTTCCAATACCACTGCTTAGCAGAAGCAAATCAGAAGATCATATCACTTACATTCACTGGCCATGGAATTTACCATGCAATTGCGAAATCAAGCATAGCGAGGTGTCATGAAGAATATGAAGACGCGTTCTCTCCATGTCCCACAATGGATGCATAATACAGTATGCATATTGACGCATGTATAATTTTATTGCAGACAGAGCTCCGAGCTTTGAAATATACAGCCTGCCTTTAAGCTCTGGACGCATGATGCCAATGGTGCGCACATAGAATGGACGCTCGTTCAAGAAGTGGTTGTAGTACAAAGGTGCCTGTCACGACTGCGATAAGACTGTAGCTTGGAGCATTTTGGTCTTCTTGATCTGGAAAGAGACGATGCCACTCCCAGCAACAAATGTCAGTCTTCCCAGGTTGAACAAATTGCCGGCAAACTGGCCTGCCACACCACCTCCTTGGCTTTTGGGGAGGTTAGGAACTGGTAGCCGAGGTTCTCAAAATATCTTGGGGCAAAGATGGAGTCCTGCAAAGTGGCCACAATGAATGAATGAGGTGAAAGAAGGTCCAAACAAACAAGGTGGTTTGACGGTTCGACGTCACTCCGTATCACAGCTGGTGGCGGTGGTGCAGCTGAGGTCCAAGTCACCGTACTCCTGAAAGGATTCGTACAAAGCAATCGGTGGCAGATCTCCAAGGCTTTCTCTGTTGAATATCAATTCAGACGGTTCATAGGATGTGTACAGTATACTGCTGTCTTATGCTTGCACCAAGATTGAACTCAAGACCACGGCCCCAGTTTTTGAAGGTGCCATTCTGAACCTGGCCCAGTATGTTCAATCCTCGAGCCGCGTCACAGCAGCTCGCATCCTAAGAAAGAAAAAACAATGACGAATGTCATGTACAACAAAATCAAACTTACAGGTCAAGCATATTGACAAGCTCCAAACAAATGAATGTGCTTTCACCGCCAACATGCTGCTGCAGGTCTACAAAAACTTGAACAAACTCTGTACACGACGACAAGTGTCGTGTAGTTGGCATTGGAACACTTGCCACGGATCTCACGGCCCCCTGCCCACTGCTTTGGGTGCTTGGTCACCTGAGCGAATGTGACATGTGAATGTGACTGCAATGATGTGCAGCTGCAAAGCATCAGCTCTAACCTTTGTTCATCCAAGTAGCATGGAAACGCTTGAAGGACCTCCCATACCTCAACAGTAAAAATCACAGAAGTGAAGCTAAACGGAGGAAAAATCGTCAACTGGTCTTTTTTGCAAAAGGACACTTTTTTGTGAGCATCCATAAGCTAACCTCCAATCCACAATTCGAACGCACATTGGCGATGGAGAGTGTGGACAAATCCTTGCGAAACGCACAAAGCCACAAAGATCCACAAAGCCTTTCCGCATCCGCCCCAAAGCCGTGCAGTCAAGGCGCCGCTCCTTCAACCGCGCGGCCTTTTCGGCTACATCCGGAGTTCCCTCTTCCAGGCCTCGGAGAGGCGTGGTTCGATGTTCCGTTTGTGTCAATGGCAAATCAGAATCAGATGAATATCAGATGAATATCAGATGAATATCAGATGAATCAGGAGGTAGGAAAGGTAGGAATGTGCCCTAGAGTGCTGCGGTTCGCATCTGGAGGATCACAATGCTGCACTTGGTGTCTCAAGCATGCTCTTTTTGTCAAATGCACTATGAAGGCTCTCAAAAAGGTCTGGAAATTCATGCAGTTTCTCTTAACAAACACTGAAATTTGTGAGCTTAGCTGCACAGCATGCTTTTCCAAAAGTACCTCAAGTTGATGACATGTTTGCTATTGTTTGCTTGGCCCTCTCACTACGACCATCTTGTTTACATGTGTTCACAGACAGCAGCCTTGTTGAAGACTGTGTCAAGGATCCTGTGCCTTGAAGGCTTATTCTTGCAGGCTTGATATCCTCTTTTGTCGTACATGTTTCAGAGTGTATTGCGATGAGGATTATCAATTGTTGAGGTCAGTCATGGGGTTGGGCGCTTGCAAGGTTACACCTGGTGTGGCAGTGGCAGCAGTGCTTTTCCTCACAAATGCCCGGATAATCCCGGATAATCCCGGATAATAGTTCTGCCTTTTCTATGCTTGTGACAGTGTGACAAATATTCCCTTTATACCTCGCGTCCGGCGTATACTTCGTGTGATTTTGAAAATTATCGAGTGAAACAACGACAGACTGTGACAGACTGTGACAATGAGTCGAGGCGCCAATCACCACAATGAGGCGGTGCGCCGCTGACCTCGGACAAACTCGACGCTAATTTCTTCCCACAAAGGAAAAAGAAAAGATTGTGAAAGATTGTGAAAAACAAGTGAAAAACAAGTGAAAGATTGTGAAAGATTGTGAAAGCAGAAAAAGATAGAGAAAAGGGCATAAGAAGTGCTGGAAGTGCACTCGAATTGTCTGTACGAGGACTAATCCAGAAGTCGATCCACAATGCGGTGCATCTATGCATCTGCCTGTGCATCCTTACTTCCATGTGCGTGTGGATGTATATGCTGAACATGTTGCGCATGCCATTTACAAATACACGTACGGACTTATGATATATGTATATAATATAATATAATATAATATAATATAGTATAATATAATATAATATAATATGAATACTGTATATCAATATTCAGATGCACATACCCTTTTATTCGTATGTATGTACATACATATGTATGTTATAAGGTTAATATATATATATATATGATTGTGTACATACTGTACATACCTATTCGTATATATATATATACACAATTATGGTTTTATACCCATGTGAATTCTTATGAAGCCCCCAGTAGCAACATCCTTGTCCAAGAAGATTCAGGATCCATGATTCCAAGGACACGACTGCGCAGCCAGAGAATCAATAGACTGGCAAATCACTTCCATGGGCTCCTGATGAATATGATTTTACTTTGGGTCTGCCCAGTCAAGATCAAACCAAGCACAGGGGAATTCACATCCAGATCAGACAGCAGAACCGGATGCTGATATGCAGCTGATATGTGCAGTCCTTGTAACCACACATCATGACGAGGTGCTGCAAATTGTCTGCTAATCGCTTCTCCTGAGAATACGGAAGTGAAATGAAGAAAAAAATGAAAAGTTAGCTGTTAGCTGCAAGAAAACCACACCTCTTCGGTTCCTCTAGGGATCTTCTCTTCCCAGGTGTCATCCACCACCTGGAAAGGAGGATTTCGAATTGCCATCTTTTCTGACTCTGCTATCTGTGTTGCAACGTGTTTCCCAAACTTCGCCTGGTGTACTCCTACTCTTCTGTGAACCTTCAGGCACAGCACTGTAGCACAGGGTGTGGGCGCCTTTTTCATCAGAAAGTTTGCTTGGAGAGAACGCACTGCACAAACCTGCCATCTGCTTCGGACTGCCCGCTCATGACTAAATCTGAAATTGCTTACAGCGCTGCTGAAGGGCCGTCAAGAGGAACGCTCCAAGCCATCCAACGAAGAGCCCATAGATAGCAGCGAATATTGGGCCTTGCAGCAAGGCAAAGAACTCCATCTTGTAGTTTGTTTGACCGTTTAACCCACACCGTAGTAGAAGTCAGATTCAAGTGGTTCTAGTCTGTGTTGAAAACTAACAGTGTTCCACAAATTCCACAAACACAATGCCACACAAGGTGAGACAGTGACAGCAACATCGCAGCAACAAGAGGAAAAAGAGCAAGAACTAGTGGAAGAACACCGTCAACAAATGTCAAAAGATGTCAACAGGATGCATGAGAAATCATGAGAATAAGTTGTGTGACCAAGTGGCAGACTAGGTCAATCCACAGAGGAAGAGGGATGACAATGAAGTCAAAGATCAGGAAGAGCAAGTTCCATCGCATGAGAATGAATTCATTCCTTACAGTATGCGCTACCAGGAAATCGGCAAACACCTACGTGAGTTTGCTTCTGAAAGTTTCAGGATCTGCAAATCAGCATATGAGTTCCGGTCTGACTGTCTAGTGCAGCTGTGTAGCTCTTTCACCACTTGCTGCTTTTCATCGACTGCATACTGGCCTTCAATGAGCAGATTGAATTTGGATAAAAATCCAGCCTAAGTGTCTACTCCTGCATAGGCTGTATAGGCTGCACAGCTTTAGCCAAGATAAGCAAATACATGAACGACATGGTTGAGGTACAAGTGCAATCACTGATACTGTATCCCGACATGTAAAACTGTAGAACATTGTAGAAACTAGAAACTGAGCTCATAGAACTTGGTGACCAAATGTGATCAGGGTGGCCACGGTGACTGACAAGTAAAGTCGAGCGAAAACCTCCGGCTTCGGAAAACTCAAGCGCCTCTGGGTGCAGTAGTGAAAATTCGTTGCCACCAGGACCTTGGACAGGACAGTGACAGCGATTCACATGATGCGATATACATGTTGTATGTTGTGATATGTGATAATATGTGATAGTATGTGATAGTATATATATTCATATGTGATAGTATGATAGATTGAATATACATGGCATGCATGTCACACATGTTTGTCACATGTTAAACTTGTCACAGTCTCAACAAATTGCAACAGTTGCCTGATGGAAAGGATGCGCCTGTGACCCTGCAGTTAGAGCATTCAAAGTATCCAATCTAGGTGTGCTTGATTTTTTGCTTGAAGCAATCGGATTGATAAAAGAAAGTGTTCGCCGACTCTCTGTCATCCTCTTGCTGGACATCTTAAGCCCCAAACATACCTTCATTTCATGAGGTATCTCAGTCAAAACTTGGCGGCCAAGTGCTGCCCAGCTACGGTTGCTTCTGCGCTGTTGGCTGAGCTGACATGGACGCAACGGAGGAGACGGAGATTAAAGATGGAAATTCACTGAAACTGAAACACTTGAACACTTGGAACAGCTGCCCACAAAGCTTTCTGCTGAAATGTGTCCAGTTACACGCACATTCAGTTGGCTTTCGCACTCCGACTTGGTTCAAACTGGTTCAAACTGCACTTCACTTACTTGGATTGAATATGATTGAATACTAGACGAAGGCTTGTGCAGGCTCATGGGGCAAGAGTCTTCACTGAGTTTGCACTGTACATACTGAACATTGTAGTCTCAGTAGCACACTTCCATAAACTCCGTAGGTGACCGGAGGTGCCTTTGGATTCACCTGTGAAATACCAAAAGTAAATAAAAGTGAGAAATTCTCGACCTTCATTGCCCTCATTGCTATCCTTTTGACTGGCTGCGAAGGTCCTTCGTATCAGTCTTAGGCTGTAGAGTCTGAGCATTAACATGAGAATCAAAGGGCTGGCTAATGGCCAGGAGCAGCTTGCAGCAGTTGATCCCATTCTGCATAACATGCAGCAACTTGCCGTTCATCTAAAATATTAAGCGTCAAAATCATTGCAACCGACACTTCTTCAGAAAGTCTCGACATGTCTGGACATTCAAATATCAACGAAATGAAAAATACCTGGCCACGCAGGTGGAGCAGCATCTTTGTTTAGTCTTGGCTGTGCCAAAACAAATTGCATTATCACAGCTGCAAATGGCGCCTGGTTTGCAATGCCGGCCACCGGCGAATTTGCCAGTGGCACAGTGGCATAGGCACAGAGCATACAGTAAAGAGAACGCGTTCAAAGGCGTGATAAATTGGTTGAATTAGCTTGCTGGTTTATTGAGAAGAAACTCAACTTAGAAGAGTCAGCAGAATGACATCTTCTGTCTCGCAACCTTGGCACAACAAATTACGCTTTTACTGGCTACGCTTGCGCCCACCACAAGTCCGCTCACATCCCAAGCTCACGCAGCCCAAACTGGCTACCTGATGTCACGGCGCCAACCCAGACAGCAATTTCGCCAAACATCTAAAGGAGAGGTTTCCAGCGTGGCGCAGGTTCCATCGGTGCAGTTTGCTTTGATTTGCTGCAACCAAACATGCCAAAACTGGTCCTTCAATTGGGAACATCTTTGACATGGATGGGAAACTTGTGAAAGTCTCTGAGATTCTAGGGCATGAACGTCACAGGGGCTGAGTGGGCCTGAGCTGAGAGTGACAACCTAGAGTGAAGCATAGCGGAACTCATGGCTCATGGCGTTTCAAGTTTCAAACTGGGTAGGTTTGGCATGGCCATCATCTGCACGTTTAGAATATGCGTTCTCCCCTGTACTTACATTTTGGTTCAAATGTGGTCCACTGGCTGGATATTAATTTCGCCCAGCAGCAAGGTGGACTGCGTGTTGATGGTTCCATAGCCGGGGGCCACTGGCTCAGTCTCGGCAACACATGTTGTTTTTGCCTTTCTTGAAAGGAGCAATCCGATAATCCATAGCAATCCCGAGCAACATCTGCAGCAGTTCCCAGTTTGACATCTAGTTGACGACAATCAGAGAAAGCATTTCTCAAGGCTCCCGGCTACCAGGAAAGGGTCTGGAGCCCCTGGGACAGAGCGGGCAGCTCCACATTTTCGGCAGAAGCTAGAGTCAGGCCTGACGAAACAAGCCATCTGTTGCCCAAGGGTTATCAGGGTGGCAGGCAAACGCGTGTCTCCAAGTGAAATTCACATAAAACTCAAAACTACCTTTGGTGTTGGAAAACCTGTAAGCAAAATTCATTAGAAGGTAGTTTTGAAAAAATGATAGACATAGTGATTCTCCATGCTCACGCTTTTGGTTGATCGGTACAGTACATGGCCTGCAACTGCATAAGTTGAATTGCATTGCTCTTTTTGAAACTGGACAGTCTACTTTTCTCGTATGCTGCCATGTGGCATGAGAACATTGCCGCAGTTGGCGCAAGCTGTTGCTTCTGCACGAGTGGTCCGCATAGTGCTTGCGGCAGCACCACTGGTAGCGGCTGCGCTGGCCGAGACATCCTTAGCTGAAAGAGGGCAAAAGGCAAACTGTAGATAGACAACATGATCCATGTAACATGTAATTCAATATTATGTATGTACAATTGAACATACTGTACAAAAATACATATGCATTATGTATATATATATATATATTTATTAGAATGTATGTATGTATGTATGTATATATATATATATTAGAATGTATGTATGTATGTATGTATGTATGTATGTATGTATGTATGTATGTATGTATGTATGTATGTATGTATGTATGTATGTAGTAATGTATGTATGTATGTATGTATGTATGTATGTATGTATGTATGTATGTATGTATGTATGTATGTATGTATGTATGTATGTATGTATGTATGTATGTATGTATGTGTATGTATGTGTGTCCCTATTTAATTGTGCAAGCAAGAAGGACAGGTATATTGAAGCCTTCTGACATCTCGGCACTTCCAAAGAGTGCTCAAGATGACTGGGAGCTAAATCAATCGGTGCGGGGAACCAACACTGTTGACAGGGCTTCCAGATTGTCAATTTTAATCGAGGGGGTTTTGGCCGAAGGGGTTGCAAAGAGAAAGAGAAAGAAAGAGAAAGAGAGGGAGCAAGGGAGAAAGAGAGAAAGAGAGAGAGAGAGAGAGAGCAAAGACAAGCCAGTTTTGTTGATTCCGGGAAAGCTGCTACGAGTACTTGCGGACACTTGCTACAATTGAAAGGCCGCACCTGTTTGGTTTCTTGGAAATGATTGCATGCTCCACGGAAGCGAAATCTCCCTGACAATTGGTACCTCCCAATATCTTCCCTGTTCAAAAAAGTAAAGCCTTCATTCAAAGGGCATGAGCCAACATCTGCAACATTTTTTTTGCCAGCAACTGCAGATTCGCATCAAATCCAGCAGATTCATTATTCAATCCATGCTTCGCCTGTACCCCAAGCCGTTCTGCAGGGACAGGCTTGGGCAGCGCGGAAGGTGCTTGGCCTTTTGAGCAAGATCCGAACAAATAACCCACAGATGTGCTGATCCAAAGAACACCTTTGTGTGTGTACTTCTCCGCTACTGAGGCCTGGAGTGCAGCACACAAAACCTCGTGCACGCCCAGTGACGCAGCAGCTGTACCAGTGCCCATTGTGCCCACGATCGCAGTGCCATAGGTGGTGACTGGTGCAGGGGCCACCTATCAAGAAACATGTTCCATCATTTTCCCCCAACTTCAGGAGCTCATGTCCCTTCGAGTAGTACAGTCCTGTCACAGCCTGTGACCCCTGCCTGAGTCTGAGCAAACATGCCAGGCTTTAGGTTCACTGTGGTCACCTTAGCGGAAGACAGCGCTACATCATGCTACAAGCGCTATCTCTCTCTACCCGATGATGCAGTCTGATTCTGAGACCCAAACCACAGGAGCTTCGTGGGACACAGACTGCTCAGTAATCACAGCAGAGACCTCCACCTCCATCAAAAATGGAGGGACTGGCACGGACTACTAGCTGCCTAGCTCATTTGAAAAGGATTGAAATGGGCATCGATGGCATCCTAGATCTGAGACATTTTGGCTTGTACTTCTGCAGGACTCAGAGGGGTATCTTGATCAGCTGCAGCGATCTTTACGACGAGTGTCATAGTGCGCATGTGGTTGCAATCTAGTCGTGTACCTTAAACAGAATGAACAGAAAGATATAGAAAGATCCAGTATCAAAACATGTTGAAAATTGTTGAAATATGCTGAAGATATCGGGAAAAAGGTATCTGGAACGACAGATCTGGATCCCACCAAATCCCTGCCTCATTGGTTGGAAGGCTCACACGCCGGACAGAAGCCACAGGAGCATCATAGATACCTGACCGCAAAAAACCCTCCGGTGGCGCTCTTCCTTTCAAATCCTTTCAATGCCTCATCCTTCTTCACCCTTCTTCAATGCTCTAAAAATCTTTAAAGATTTTGTCTAATGAAAAGGATCCAAGGATTTGCCAATCCTTTGCCTCCTTGCTGCGCTTCGGCGATCCCGCTGACGACTTCCTTTCAAAGTCGCCCAGCTGAATCAACAGGCAATCATGATGTCATACACACATTGAACATTGAATGCATTGCACACTTCCAGACATTCCTCTCAATTTTCTTCCTACCTAAAATGTTGCCACTCGAGCGTGTCTCTTGTGACATGTCATGGGTCGTCGCAGGTTGTTCGAGATCTAAGAGTCTGCTAATTTCCAGTCCTCCTTTCTTGCAGACCGTTGGTACTGCCAGCCTCTGGCAGGAAAAAAATAGCACGTGGAGAATTTAGAGACATGGTCACCTCCGCTTTCCAATCACACTGTTCAACTCTTGTGCTGGTGTCCGCCCTTCATCAACAGCGGCAACCTCGCTCTTCTCAAAAATCTCAGTCTTAGCTTTGTATGTTGTTTCTTGGCCTCCTGATGTCGTGTTTCGAGGGAGCCGTCCAAGTTCCAGCAGGCCTGTCTGGATGATGCGTTGCTGCATCGCTCCAGAGGCTTTCTGCCGAATGACTTCATGCTGCACTACCTGCGGAATAGACAAACTGCTGCGATCATAGACATAGGTAGACATAGGTGGACTGCCTAGGCATGACCGAATGGAAGCTGCAGAACAAGCTGGAGGCTGCTTCAAGATTCAAGCGTACACTCTACAAGCATTAGACAGTCAGAAAGGTGTAGCACTTTCTGATCACGAATAGCTTCTGTAGTCTAAACCATATGAAGCTGTATTTCAATCTGTGTCTTACAGAAAGCGACCTGGGGAACCTCCACTGCAGTTTCCCGCACAAGGTTCACTGGTACGGGTACAACCTGTGTGCCATGAGCCAGCAGTGCTTCAAAGGGGTATTGACATCGCTGTGGATGCTGTTGGATCGCTTGCTCGAAAAGAGTCAATTTGATTGAAAGGCATTGAGTGGGAAGTTTAGTTTCTCAAAGCTTAGTTTCTCGGCCAATTGGGACAACAAGAATGAGCCACAAGATGATGTGTTGGGCCAGGAATGCTTGTAACGTCTTGGGCAGGGACTATACATGTCGCTTTCCAGGGTTCAGAGGGAGCGCCCAAGCTTGAAGGCGTTGGATATCCATCTTTGAAGACCCTAGATTCACACATATTCACACTGTCCAAATATCTCTGAAGAGCACCTTCTCCACAACTTTGGTTTCCACAATCCTGCCAAGCTCAAGAACACCAAAGGGGGATGTGAGAAGGAAAATCAAAAGTGACAAATGGTTCTTTGAAATCCCTCTGGAAGTCTCAAAACATGGCAGCATCACTTGGGCACATGCTTTTGCACAACCTGCTTCTGGTAATGCGGTACCTGCATTTCATGCTTGGTTTCAACAATCCACATGTCAAATTGTTTATTTCAAGCATGTGCGAGTTGATTTCACAATATGTTCGATCGCTTCCCAATGCTTCGTGCAAGCATTCGAAGCCGGAACATCTGACACATGGCTCTGCCTCCTTGATCACTTCAGCCACTTGAACTTGGGGGACATGTTTGAGACATTCCTCGTAGAAGACCTGCCATCGACTCGACGTGCTTTAGATATTTATATATTATATTACTGTATTATGTGTATATATATATAGATCGTGCTCTATCCGAGCATATTCATCATACTCTCTCATATCCAAATATGGTCATGGCAGGCATCTTTGCTTTTCCTTCTCCATTGAGTCCATTCATGGTCATGTCAGTCATGTCCATTCATGTTTCCCCCTGGTTTGTGCCTGTGGTACTTCGACAATCTTCTCTTCTGCCTGCACGATGATCTTAGGCACCTGACCAATCCATCGCATTGCAGCGCATTTTAATAATTAAGCTTCCTTCATCTTCCTTCAATGTTCAATAATGTTCAAGAATATATCCAAGAAACTTGAAGAAACTCGCTCATATTTAAGGCATATTCAACTTGCACGCGCCCGTGAGACCTCCTTGTCCACCATTTCCACCTGTGGCTTTGGTACCTTAAACAGCATCGCATCAAATTTTCGCGTGAGTCTCGTCACAAAGGGCAAGCTCCACGAGTGCACTCATCTTCGGGCTTTGATTTGAAAAAGCAGTGAAAAGTAGATTCTTCGCTGTTTGGGAGGGTGTTTTGTGTCTGCAAGTTGACAGCCTCCTAAACGCCGCCAAATACTCAGCTCTACTTGTTTCTACCAAAGTTTGACTTTGCGAATGCCCGGAAGAAAGGGAAGTGAGACTTGCCTTCCTGTGGACACAAGTACAATTGCAAGACATCAAGGCAACTAATTGTATTGCCTTTGCGGCTGAGACCTGTAGACACTTCTGAGGGTGTTCAAATGCGCTCAACAAATTCGACTAAGGATGGCGCTTGCACCATCAATTCGGCCACATGGACTTGCGGCACTTCCACCGGTCGCTCCTTGCAACATGCCGTGGCAGGGCCAAGACTTGTACTCCAGGGACTCACAAGTCCGAGTCGGCCGAGTCACTCATGAATGGAACAACAAAAAAATATTCAACGGTTTCAAATGGATTTCAAATGGATTTCAAATGGATTTCAAGAATCTTACAGGATGTTTAAATATATCATAATAGTTCATAATATATCTCAGAAAATAAAATCAAGTTGTAAAGATTTGTAAAGTATTTTAAAGGGTTATAGATGGTTATAGTTATTGTCCTACTGTCAGTGCCGGAATTATAGAACGGAAGTTGAGGAGTACGAAGGTACGGTTATTTACCGTACCCTGTTGTTCTATAATTCTGTTTTCCTCGGAAGGTATGAAAAAAAAACGTATCTGAATTTACTCCTAACTTTTTTCGTCGTTCTATAATTCTTGTCGGAGCGTTGTTGTTCTATAATTCTGTTTTCCCCCATTTTTCTCACATTTCCCATTTTCGTTCTATAATTAATTTTCTCCGTTCTATAATTCATTTTTCCGTCGAACGGAAAAATTGATTATAGAATTATAGAACCTCTTCCGGGGTCCCAGAAAGAGCTCATTTCCTCATTTTCTCATCGAATCCCCATTAAATCCTCATTAAATCCTCATTTTATCCGCGTTTTATTATCATTTCCTCATCAAGTCCTCATTTTATCTTCATTTTATCCTCGTTTTCTCATCAAATCCTCATTAAATCCTGATTAAATCCTCATGTTATTTTCATTTTATGTAGTCCTCATTTCCTCATCAAATCCTCATTTTATCTTCATTTTATCCTCATTTTATCCTCATTTTATCCTCATTTTATCCTCGTTTCCTCATCAAATCTTCATTTTATCCTCATTTTATCTTCATTTCCTCATCAAATCCTCATTAAATCCTCATTAAATCTTCATTTTATAGATTGTATATATACAAATATGCAGTAAATATCATGGAGGCGCCAGAAATTATAGAACGGAGCAATTTAATTATAGAACGGGGAAACTTAATTATAGAACGGATCCGAATCCGCGCGGAATCGGGATCCGGAGGAGTACGAAGGTACGGTATTTTAGCGTACTTTTGTACTCCTGGCTCCGTTCTATAATTCTGGCACTGACTGTACATTGTCCTCATGAATTCTCCAAAACACATCGCTGCCCTATCCCACATGGCTGCCCGATGTGCCCGTCCTGTGTCAGGGTTAGCGGCACCTGGGTGAGCCATGGTGTGGAACTGTGAATTGGCAGCATCCACTGTGGTCGTCAAACACACAGGTACCACCAGGGAGGCAACAGGGAGGCAACAGGAAGGCAACAGGAAGGCAACAGGAAGGCAACAGGAAGGCAACACACAGTAACAACATGAGACAGCCTGAAACAACTGAAACGGTGTAAGTATGTGTAAGTGTAAACATACTGTAAATATAAAAACATTGCGTGTCTGATGGCTCTCAAAGGAGTTGCTGAGACATTTAAATCTGCAGGAGTGCAAGACTCCATCATTGCACCTCACATAGAATCGGTATCTAAGGCCTACCAACCTATACAGTATTGGCCACCTCTAATGCTCATTGGAACAAGACAATTTACGTTGTCTTTGCATTCAAATCATTCCCTGGCACCAAGCCTCCACAATCCTCTCCTGTGGTTGAAGAACCACCTGGAGTAGGTCACGGACTTCCAAACCAAAAGTAACCACACTGCACCTTGTCATAACAGAATTGTCAAAACGTGACTCTTTCATCCGCCTTGCATCCTGTTGCCCGCGCCTTCGGCACTTCTTTCTTCACGAATTGTACATGAGGCCTTGGCACCTGATCAGGAACTCGGCACTGTCACTGAGAAATCTGAGAAGGGCAAGCCAGGCAACTCCTGACAGGTTTTATATAGTTCAGGAAGCACCACGCCTGTGTGACAGCCTCCACATGGATCAGCTCTGGCACTTCAATAGGTCTTTCTTCGTATATGACCTGCATGCTCCACAAGGTACGTTATCAGTGTTTCAGGATGCGACTCCACTGCACAATTATATAGAAGCAGCAGCCAGTTGTATAAAGACGGCCGAAAAGGACGGTTGGGCCTGAGGCACTTCCACAATCTTCTCCACGTACCTAGCTGTCAGATCATGTTCTGGACTATATATATAGTTATATATAGTTATATATAAATGTCCAGTGTTTCTCGGTGTCATTCATGACGTCATGCTTCGCCCTGTGCAACTCTTCAGCCACAAGAGGAAGAAAATGCTCGCATAGAAGCTTTGCCAGACGACACAAAGAGATCGGTTCAAACAGTGTCTGTTGACAAATGAAGCACAGCCAGGTACTATTGATGCATTCTCTTTCTTCTGTGTTTGATCTGCGGCACTTGATGACTTTTTTTGGCACGCGCTTCTCGATGTACTTGACCTACTTTGCATGGTGTAATGTGCTGCACGGAACTGGAAGCTCCTTTCACCGACGATCTTGATAAGCATGGCGAGCATTTACTCGTTTGATTTTCCTTTTTAATGCTGAATTTCAAGCCTCTAATTGGGCAGGTCGCTGTTTCAAAACCAGCAGCCCATGAGGCTTCTCTAGACTTCATGTCGTGAAGGTGAATCTGTTCAGTGTATCTACCATCAACAACAAGAACAAAATCTGTTTACGTCTGGTTTCTTCATGACTAGGAGCAGCCATACACACCCTTTCAATGAAAGTCTTTTCCCATTCTGCGAGGATTGCCATCGAACGTTAGCGTGGCTTTGCCACGCGACACCCCACATTGTAGCTGATCGACTCGTCTGTTTACACAACACTGATTTTTACACCATGAACTGGTTTGAACCGCAGGCTATATAAAGCTATCAGGCATCAGCCTTGAGGTTTGTGAAAGCCTATCAGCCACGGCAAACATCTCAAGCACACGCTCTCTGCTCACACAGCATCTTTCTGGAAGGGTGATACCGAGTTCTTCAAAAAAACAGCCATCCACAGGAAACCACAGAGATACCCTGCTTACCCCCGCAACCCCCAACTTCAATGTTGTGATCGGAAGTGCCGAGCATCATCAACAGAAATGGCTGTTTTTTTTGAAGGCCGCCAAACACAAACTTCAGAAGACAACATTGAATTGGGGGACGGGGGGGGCATGACCTCTGTGGTGTGGTACTTCATGGGATGGCTGTTTTTTTTGAAGAACCCGGACTCAGAAAAGACACAATAGGATGGACCCATGGCTGCAGACAAACGCGAGAATGATGACGACACTGTGTCAGGGAAAGCATCGGGATCAGTTTGGGCGGGTGTTTGTGTGTGGGTGTGTCTGTTTGCTTGCGCGGGCGCATATGTGCTAATATGGGTTGTGCTAAGTGAAATACATGCAGCGACAGTCTTGACACCTTTTTGACCTGATTCCGCAATGTCGTGGGGTGCACTGGCTGTCGTTCTGCGTGGCAGGCGCGCCACTTTGAGAGCGTGACTGCTCTATCCTGCACACCTGCCATGCAACGCACATGCAACACACATGCAACACACATGCAACACGACATGCAACATGAGCTTTTTACCTGTAAATTTACAGTCAACGTGCAGGATTTGACGTTTGCAGCCCCAACTCCGGTCTTAGAATGGAAAGTGTAGATTTTTGCCCCCGCGGCCACGTTGCTTGGAAATTTACAGGGAAAATGCTCGTGTTGCATGTGTGTTGCATGTGTGTTGCATGTGTGTTGCATGTGCGTGTGCATTGGCAGGCCCATACAAATCACACCCGTGAAGTGGGGAAGTAGAAAACAGCGTGGCAGGCGCAAGAGTTGTAGGTGGCAGGGCGAGACTTTGGAAGCTGAGCGCCTTGGATATTACATTGTGGTGGTGGCCCGTAGCATCCACCTTTGTGGGGTTGTCGCATATTATATAGAATAAGCTTTGACAACCATCTTGGGCAACTTTCACAAGCTGATGGTTAGCCCTTAGCATCCACCTTTATTGGGCTGTCACAGATTACAGAAGCGCATGCTTTGACAATGCGTAAATTTCAGAAGCTGATGTTGTCGCATCGATGTGTGTGTATGTGTGCTGATCTACATCCACATGCATATCAACAACAGTTAAACTGAACTCGGAACAAAAAAAAGCCTCACCGGGTTCTTCAAAAAAAACAGCCATCCACAGGAAACCACAGAGATACCCTGCTTACCCCCGCAACCCCCAACTTCAATGTTGTGATCGGAAGTGCCGAGCATCATCAACAGAAATGGCTGTTTTTTTTGAAGGCCGCCAAACACAAACTTCAGAAGACAACATTGAATTGGGGGACGGGGGGGGCATGACCTCTGTGGTGTGGTACTTCATGGGATGGCTGTTTTTTTTGAAGAACCCGGACTCAGAAAAGACACAATAGGATGGACCCATGGCTGCAGACAAACGCGAGAATGATGACGACACTGTGTCAGGGAAAGCATCGGGATCAGTTTGGGCGGGTGTTTGTGTGTGGGTGTGTCTGTTTGCTTGCGCGGGCGCATATGTGCTAATATGGGTTGTGCTAAGTGAAATACATGCAGCGACAGTCTTGACACCTTTTTGACCTGATTCCGCAATGTCGTTGGGTGCACTGGCTGTCGTTCTGCGTGGCAGGCGCGCCACTTTGAGAGCGTGACTGCTCTATCCTGCACACCTGCCATGCAACGCACATGCAACACACATGCAACACACATGCAACACGACATGCAACATGAGCTTTTTACCTGTAAATTTACAGTCAACGTGCAGGATTTGACGTTTGCAGCCCCAACTCCGGTCTTAGAATGGAAAGTGTAGATTTTTGCCCCCGCGGCCACGTTGCTTGGAAATTTACAGGGAAAATGCTCGTGTTGCATGTGTGTTGCATGTGTGTTGCATGTGTGTTGCATGTGTGTTGCATGTGCGTTGCATTGGCAGGCCCATACAAATCACACCCGTGAAGTGGGGAAGTAGAAAACAGCGTGGCAGGCGCAAGAGTTGTAGGTGGCAGGGCGAGACTTTGGAAGCTGAGCGCCTTGGATATTACATTGTGGTGGTGGCCCGTAGCATCCACCTTTGTGGGGTTGTCGCATATTATATAGAATAAGCTTTGGCAACCATCTTGGGCAACTTTCACAAGCTGATGGTTAGCCCTTAGCATCCACCTTTATTGGGCTGTCACAGATTACAGAAGCGCATGCTTTGACAATGCGTAAATTTCAGAAGCTGATGTTGTCGCATCGATGTGTGTGTGTGTATGTGTGCTGATCTACATCCACATGCATATCAACAACAGTTAAACTGAACTCGGAACAAAAAAAAAGCCTCACCGGGTTCTTCAAAAAAAACAGCCATCCACAGGAAACCACAGAGATACCCTGCTTACCCCCGCAACCCCCAACTTCAATGTTGTGATCGGAAGTGCCGAGCATCATCAACAGAAATGGCTGTTTTTTTTGAAGGCCGCCAAACACAAACTTCAGAAGACAACATTGAATTGGGGGACGGGGGGGGCATGACCTCTGTGGTGTGGTACTTCATGGGATGGCTGTTTTTTTTGAAGAACCCGGACTCAGAAAAGACACAATAGGATGGACCCATGGCTGCAGACAAACGCGAGAATGATGACGACACTGTGTCAGAGAAAGCATCGGGATCAGTTTGGGCGGGTGTTTGTGTGTGGGTGTGTCTGTTTGCTTGCGCGGGCGCATATGTGCTAATATGGGTTGTGCTAAGTGAAATACATGCAGCGACAGTCTTGACACCTTTTTGACCTGATTCCGCAATGTCGTGGGGTGCACTGGCTGTCGTTCTGCGTGGCAGGCGCGCCACTTTGAGAGCGTGACTGCTCTATCCTGCACACCTGCCATGCAACGCACATGCAACACACATGCAACACACATGCAACACACATGCAACACGACATGCAACATGAGCTTTTTACCTGTAAATTTACAGTCAACGTGCAGGATTTGACGTTTGCAGCCCCAACTCCGGTCTTAGAATGGAAAGTGTAGATTTTTGCCCCCGCGGCCACTTGCTTGGAAATTTACAGGGAAAATGCTCGTGTTGCATGTGTGTTGCATGTGTGTTGCATGTGTGTTGCATGTGTGTTGCATGAGTGTTGCATGTGTGTTGCATGTGCGTTGCATTGGCAGGCCCATACAAATCACACCCGTGAAGTGGGGAAGTAGAAAACAGCGTGGCAGGCGCAAGAGTTGCAGGTGGCAGGGGCGAGACTTTGGAAGCTGAGCGCCTTGGATATTACATTGTGGTGGTGGCCCGTAGCATCCACCTTTGTGGGGTTGTCGCATATTATATAGAATAAGCTTTGACAACCATCTTGGGCAACTTTCACAAGCTGATGGTTAGCCCTTAGCATCCACCTTTATTGGGCTGTCACAGATTACAGAAGCGCATGCTTTGACAATGCGTAAATTTCAGAAGCTGATGTTGTCGCATCGATGTGTGTGGATGTGTGCTGATCTACATCCACATGCATATTAACAACAGTTAAAATGAACTCGGAACAAAAAAAAAACTCACCGGACTCAGAAAAGACACAGTAGGATGGACCCATGGCTGCAGACAAACGCGAGAATGATGACGACACTGTGTCAGAGAAAGCATCGGGATCAGTTTGGGCGGGTGTTTGTGTGTGGGTGTCGCATATGCGCTAATATGGGTTGTGCTAAGTGAAATACATGCAGCGACAGTCTTGACACCTTTTTGACCTGATTCCGCAATGTCGTGGGGTGCACTGGCTGTCGTTCTGCGTGGCAGGCGCACCACTTTGAGAGCGTGACTGCTCTATCCTGCACACCTGCCATGCAACGCACATGCAACACACATGCAACACACATGCAACACGACATGCAACATGAGCTTTTTACCTGTAAATTTACAGTCAACGTGCAGGATTTGACGTTTGCAGCCCCAACTCCGGTCTTAGAATGGAAAGTGTAGATTTTTGCCCCCGCGGCCACTTTGCTTGGAAATTTACAGGGAAAATGCTCGTGTTGCATGTGTGTTGCATGTGTGTTGCATGTGTGTTGCATGTGTGTTGCATGTGTGTTGCATGTGTGCATTGGCAGGCCCATACAAATCACACCCGTGAAGTGGGGAAGTAGAAAACAGCGTGGCAGGCGCAAGAGTTGTAGGTGGCAGGGCGAGACTTTGGAAGCTGAGCGCCTTGGATATTACATTGTGGTGGTGG